GGATATACTGTATGTATGGATGATGGATGGATGGATGGATGGATGGATGGTTGATGGATGGATGGATGGATGGATGGATGGATGGATGGATGGATCTATGATAAAATGTTTAATGTAAAAACACTGTTATCATTGAAGGTTATTGTATAAATGAGCTCATTTCCTTGTATAAAGCTAAACCAGTTGGAGACACAACGACCTTCAGACCCTCAGGCTTTATGACACACTGAGTGACGAAGCAGCATCGGGCCACAGAAACTATTCAGGCTCAGGAGAAAATCCTTGTCCTTCACAAACCCAGTTCAACACCACCTCCAGGAATAGAAGCAGTAACTGGAGAACAGAAACACAGCACTTTGTCACATTTCTGATGGATTTAATTGGTAAATAAAAATAAGCAATAAAACACAACAGTTACTATTTGGTAAACATTTTATTGTCACAATATTTGGATTACTGATCTTTCCACAGTCAGTCAGTTAGGAATAATTTACTAAGGTGTTTTGTAGACACTTTGTTTAGCTTTGCTAATTTGTGTAAGAATGTCAAAAACTTTCACAAACACCACAAAGTGATTTTATTGGAACAAAAGAGAAAACCCTGCCCCTTTTGACCATTTAAACTTTTAAATATGTCAGATGATGTTTAGACGTCATCAGATGATTAACTTTTTTGATATCTTGAAATAATTTCTGTAAAAATCGCAGTTTAATATATCTAGAATGTTTTTATTTTAATTTCATTACTTGGGATATTAAGCTGTTATGAGGATGACATTACAGTTCTACCAACTTTTTGATGTGTTCAAACGTTTTTGTGAATGAGTTCCTCCAGCTCTCATACTCTTTTCCCACATCACAAAGCGAAAATGTGGAATTGAAAATATACTCTATCCGTCGGTCTTATGAGCCGCGTAAGTTAAAAAATAAGGGAGATACTGACTTCTGTTCTGGTGAGTGACTACAACTAGGTAAAAAACAGGTCCCTATCAAAAATTGGGTTGCCACATCAAAATCCAAGATGGTCACCCCCACAGATGCAAAGCGGATACCTTCAAGCTTTGAGGAAACTATGCTTTGTTGTTAGAATATTGTTTAAAAGTATAATTTTCTCAAATGCTCAGGGTGGCCAATGGGGTGGCTGAAGATTAATTTGTGGTGGGCAAGACCACCACTGAGCACCCCTTGGCTCCACCACTGCATCTTGTCCACTCGCCAGGATCTATCAGTCTGCGAGGACATTAAAATAAAATAAACTTTTTTTCTACACATTAACTTGCATTTCCATTCATTATTCTATACATTCTATTCTGGTTCACTCTTTGATCACATTGCAACTCCCTTTTGTTTGGTTTACCAGCAAAATCCGTTCATAAACTCCGACTGGTCCAAAACGGAGCTGCTGGGATCATTCACAGAACCCCTTCCACCAGTCATATGACACCTGTCCTGCAGCATCCTCACAGGCTCCCCGTCAAATGTGGCATCTCCTACAAAATTCTGCTCCTCACATTTAAAACCCTCAATAAACTCTCAGGTCCTCCTCCTCCACCCAACTCACCCAACCACCAGCTCGTTTTACCACTAAGTGCTGAAGAGCTTCATTCACACACCCCCAACACACACACGCGTGGTACAGCCCCCCAGATATTAAAAACTTTCCAACCGTCTACATTTTTAAAACTCTTCTGTTTAAACAGGCATATTCAGTTTAACCTCCATTTCTCCAGTTTAAATTTATTTCGATGATATTTTTATTGCTTTTATGTTGTATTTGATTGCACGGTGTCCTTGAGTGCTATGAAAGGCGGATGGTTATGATGTCACTGAATCACCTCTCAGCACCGGTTAGCAGCTGCAGTATCATGTGAGCACAGACCCCCCCTTTCTGCAGTTTGATCACACAAACGTTGGTCGAACATCCAACAGAAAGAGTTTGTCCCACAGTAACAGATGTGGGAACACTGAGCTCCAGCATGAGTTCCTGTCTCCTGCAGTAGTGGCTGCTGCTCTCTGCAGCTGATGCAGAGGGGTTCACATGGAACGCTGTAGTCTGGATGTGAAATCTGAGCCAGCTTTAAATCTGCGTGGCTCACAGAGCGACATGTATTCAGACCAAGGCCGGCACAGAGTGACAGGTTTGCCTCCGCAGACACAGGCATGGAAAATACTTCCTTAAAAGTCATGAATAACTTTATAAGGATGATTTATTATAATAAAAATAAAAAATAAAATAATTTCTGAAAAGCTTTTTGAAGGCTCCAGTGCAGCTACTGCCTTAAATTCATTATTTCTCAATCATCATCTCTCGCCATCGAAAAGGGGACTTAAAAATGCTCTTCGTCAGTCCATTCATCCGTCTGTTACAATTTCACAAAGCTGTAACTGTCACATAGAAAGGCTAAAATACACCAAACTTGGTGAGTCATTCATGCCCAACTTATGTGGTCATATGACATCATCAAAGCCCTGCCCCCTAACAACAGGAAGTGACCATTTTTTGGCTTGGAAAGCTCCATCTCTGACCCTCTTGACCTAATCAGCCACAAATGGTGTCAGAACACAGATAATAAGTTGATCTCATTTGCTTTCAAGCACAAAGACCTTTTTGGGGGCGTGGCCTAATCCCTCCACAGCACCCCCTCCCCGCCATACTTCTTTAAATACTCAGCCCCAAGCTATGCTTGGACCTGGAACCATGAAATTTGGTACACATATGTAATGTCTCAGGACCTCGTCATGGTCATGGCTTAATTCCCGCAGGAAGTCGGCCATTTTGAATCAAAGCTTCCAATTTGTCTCTTTTCTTTCTTTTTTTTAATTTAATTTAATTATATTTAATTTTATTTTATTTTATCAGGACAGTGTGCAAATAAACATAAAATAAAATTGACCAGGTTATATCTGACTGTTCGTGTCATTTTTTAAAAATGTTTCTTGTAACTGAGGTTTGAATCCAAAAATTAAAAAAAACTCCAAGATACTTCTTGCACATGTATCTGAACCAACTCCCCTCACAGCTTTGAACATGCAGACTCCACATGCTGCATGCTTCTCTCACCACTGACTGGTGGTGGGATGGTGTGGGTGTGGCAGAGTGGTGAGTGCTGATGCCTCACACATTTGCACACGGTTGGCTCTAAATCACACATGCACGATCCGATCTGCGCCACATTTTGTGTGAGAAGAACTAAAAGAAAGAAAAAAAGTTATAGCTACTGCCAGGGGTATTTTTGGACCACCATGGTTAGCACACACTGCAGTCTGCATAGGACAGGCACTAAATTTGAAGAAAGTTCATTAATTTATTTTCTGTTTATTTTTAAATTTGGCACCCCAAATGCAGCTGTTTCTGTTACATTGGTCAATTAGTTTTTTATCACATTTGATACAAAAAATAATTAAGATATATATTTAGATTTAAGATTTAGGATTAGGAGATATTCTATATGTGACCCGTCACATCGAAATGAGGATTAAGTCTAAAAGTGGTTTATGGAGAAATAGGCAAATGTAGTGTTTTGATTAAAACATTTGAAAAAGTGAATTTTGTCGAAACATAATGAATAAATGTTTTTCAATGTATCATTTTAATCAACTGTCTGAAATATAATCATAAAACAAATTTTTGAAGCATTTTTTTGAGCAGTAGCAACAAAAACACTGATTTTGAGCAAAAACGCCTTAAAGTTTTGAGATTTTCCCTGTGAGTTACAAATGTTTTGTTTTATTACAGCTGGGAAATCTCAATATTCAAATTTAATTTGAGGTTTCCTCTTTATAAGGACATCCAAAATTCCTCATTAAAAATACATAAAATTAGGATTCAGACCAAGTATTTATGTATTATTGTAACCAACAAGACAAATTAAGGCATATCTCTGGATCCACTTATGATATCAGAATGATCCAGGTATGAAAATGAAACTTTTAAAGCCAGGAATCTGAAAATGTAATAAGGTCATTTTGAGCAAATTTGACTTAATCTTCATTTCGATATGATGGGTCCCATATATGATTATTTGCCTCACTAAGGTCTCAGGACGATTGGAGTGATCACCAAACTGGATCTGATGGATGAGGGGACAGATGCTCGGGATGTTCTGGAGAACAAGCTGCTGCCACTTCGAAGAGGTTTGTCTTTTTGTTTCTATGAAAAACACCTGCACGGTTTTGTTTTCTCACCTGTAGTTGTGGCAACAATTTCCCTTCGCTTGGTTTCTTCCCAGGATACATCGGCGTGGTGAATCGTAGTCAGAAGGACATCGATGGAAAGAAAGACATCAAGGCGGCTTTGGAAGCTGAGAGGAAGTTTTTTCTGAGCCACCCAGCCTACAGGCACATGGCTGAAAAAATGGGCACCCCTCGCCTGCAGCAAGTGCTCAATCAGGTGACGATGGATTTATTCTCTCACTGTGCACTTTACATAATTAATTAGAAGGAGGCCTAGGTTAGTTTCCCTTTTCTCTGCTGTCTGTTTGACCAAAAACACAAAACATGCTGATACTTGTTAGTTCAGCTCTTAAAGGGCCAATATTATGTGTTTCTCAGGCATATATTTAAACACTATACCATAATAAAGTATCTATGTCACCTTTAGCTGTTATTAAAATGCTGTTTTTATGTTTAAATAGAAAATAAAC